TGCATAAACTTACTATTTCTTTTCCTTTTTTTGACTCTAGATGCAATAACAGAACCCAGTGTGCAGTGGTGGCAGGTCCTGATGTTTTTCCAGACCCGTGTCCAGGAACCTATAAATACCTTGAAGTACAGTATGAATGTGTCCCTTACAGTATGTATATTTCTGTGATTTTCTTATAAAAAGAAAAGATATTAAGCTATTTTACATGCACTGACCAAATATTCTCTTTGGAAACATAAAATAATCATGTAAATTAAATGAAAAAAATGGGCTAATATTAATTTGAGAGGATCATAGATCTTCTCAAATTAAAAGAATTAGATACTGGCTGCATGATCCTGCAGCATTTACTTTTGCCTATATAGTTCTGTACATCAATACGTCTTTGAATACCATTTCCTTAATTAATGCAAGAACGTAAAATGTTTAGAACAACGTTGATGGGGTGTTATGCCAATCCTACATTCCCTCAGGTCCAAGCAAATAGGAAGTGAAAGTGTATATATAATGGTGTAGAAATTAATAAGTTTTGAATTTGATAGAAAAATTATACGTAAGCGTCATGCGCTGTCAACATTTTGAGAATTAGAAATATATTCATCCAGAGGGAGCAGACTGGAAAGAAAATACAAGGATTACATGAAGTACTCCTCAGAGTGTATCTTTCACAGCCTCGAGAAATGTGTCTTTGCAATTTTTTTGTCGGATATGGTAGATGCCAACAACATACTTTTTTTTCTTCAGAAATGATGAAGAATCAAACAATCTAAAATGGAGTCTTTTCTGACTTTTCTACCCAAAGGAAGAATCAGCATCTCAAAAAAAAAAATTTTTTTCTTTTAATCTGACTAGTTAATTATTCATGAGATTTCTTAGTGAAAATCACTCAGGAAATTCTGCATTGTCATATTAGATATTCAGCTCATCCCAGAGATAGAAAACACCTGGGATCATAAATAAATCCCAGGTTCCAACTTCCCTTGATGTTTAATAAGAAGCAAAATATCTGAGGATCAGCAAGTTTACTGTGCCAAGAGATAGTTTTAGGCTTGCTTCATTCATGCTTATGTAAAGAGGCAGCACTTTACCCATGAGCTGGAAGTGTGCATACTTTAATAATCAAGAGAAATCTGCCCAGCAAGAAATGCATTGAAATTTAAAAATAATAGTGAAAGCAATCCAGAAAAAAATTCAACTTCGCTTTATTTATAGCATGATTAGAGAAAGTTTATCTAGTGAAATTTTATAAACTAATCTTTCTTGTTATGAAAAAGCCTTAGAGTCTTATTTAGTTACGTTTCTTCCATTTTCTTTAATCTCTACAGGTCCTCCTATTTAAATATAAAGCTCCTACTGATCATTTATTGTTCACTAGTGATATTTTAAGGACATAAAATTTGTAGATTATCTTGGAAGTGAGGCAGTTATGCCTGCGTTGCATAAGATCTTGGTGAAATATGGAGAATCCTGTTCTGTAATACAAAAGCATTTTATAAAAACATGCAATGAGGTATATACCTTATTTTTGAAGACAGTTTTAGGAAACTTACATTCATAT